ATAATTATGTGTAATAATGTAAAGTGAAACTGCTGGTAATACTAAAGGTGGCAGTGTGTAAATTACAAAAAAAATACCAATACTTGGAACAATACGAGATCCAAGCAAAAAAGTATGCTTGCAAAGCAACGAATTGGGAAATGAATGTTCTTGTGAGCGGTTACGCTGTTCAACAAAACTTCGATTGGAAGCTAAACGAAGTTTTCTTAGAGAATTTAATAACTTATCCTCTACAAGTGAACAAAATTATCAGAATTCCCTCGAGTCTAAAATCTTTAAACCAAGGTCTAAGAGAATTTGTGTGGAGACCACTTATGGAACAAAACTATTTTTGACGTTATTTGAGAAACTGCTTATACACCTTAATTTTTATTTCTAATAGACCAACTTTTTGCTATGAAAGTGTCATCCCAGACTTCAGCGCCTACCCGAACTAAGTATATCTTATATATTTTAAATACAAACAGGTGCGAACTGATAGATGATTTGAAAGGGTTTTAAATTCAATATATAATTTTTATTCTTCATAGGCGAAATAAGGAGATTTAAGTATTTCAAATATTCGCTATTTTGAATAAATTTTATTGAAATATATTTAGTCCAAAAGGGAAAAAATTTGAAGTATTTAAATGTCTAGGGGAACACGGGGAAAATGAACCCGGGAATGAACAACTCCCCAAATTTAGATAATTTCCAATGCAGTCTGGAAAAACACTCTCTGGCATGATGTAAAATTCAAGTATAGAGAAAGTAGAAGTTGAAAAGTCTTTTGGTAGGTAGCGAGGGGGTAAACGTCAAACCACGTCGGGCGGCTCCGAGAATTTCACAGTAATGTTTACCTGCCAGTTTCGTTTCATAGAATAAGTAATTTTAAATTGTTATCGGCGGAACCGGACAATCGCATGTATTTATGGATTATAAATAATTATTAAACATGTATTATAATAATCAAATTATAATTTTACAAAATTTCAACAGCTATTCACAATTTATTAAACTATTTACTCGAAATTGTTATTAACATCTATAAAATAATTTTGTACGCCAATGTATCGCGTCCACTTCGGGGAGATCCGCTGCCAACCTGTCAATTTATGTGTATAAAGTGGGAGAACTGGCAAAAGCATTTCCAACTTTTACTTCTGTTCTAGAAGTAACAGGCAACTTAGGCCCAATACAGACGGTACAGCACGACATCAACGTGTCGCTCGAATGTCGTCGCCATGTATTCGAATGCAGATATTCACACGTAGAGATGCCCCATTACAGTGCTCATTTTACCTCATAGCCGGAGCATAATGATTTTTCGTTAAATTAATATTTTTCATTATTTTCTTTGATTGTTAAGTGAGTTTCAGGTTAAAATTGTATTTTGTGATAAAATTTAATAAATATATAACTAATTAGAACTAAAATAATTTCCATATTAACACTAACGAGATCAGAATTACCTCATTTCCTTAGGGTGGTCATTATGCCCTGGCTTCCCCTATATATACCCCTAGAAATAAGTTATAGTTATTTGTGCAAGAAGAGTAGTTAAAAATCTTCTCGAGTTGAACAGTATATTTTTTCCACAACCCACTAACTAAGGATTTTAGTTTTAATAATAATTATTTTGTTATCGAATAGAGAATTAAAAACGATTTCAAATAAGCTCTCACTATTACTATTCATATTATTCAAGGGAGTAGCTACCACAGACAGAGGTTGAAATCATGATATTTTTATAATAGAAATCTGTTGTATCAAAAATAAAAATTGATGTATCCGAGCATTTTTCATAATTTTCCAAAATAACGCAAAAATTATTTTGTTTCGTTAGTGGTATCCCACTGTATAATGTACAAATATAATATTTTGAATTTTCAGCGGTTCTCGTTAAATAACGCACCGCACCTACAACGTCACCTGCTGTGGGTGATGTTCCTTGTCCCACAAATATCTTCGTTGGAATATTGATATTCTTAATTGATGGACGTACAAATTAATATGTTTCTTTTTATTTGACAATATTCTAATCTTTCAAAATTATTTTATAAATCTATAGTTACTACATACAATGACTAAACTCCAACTATACATTGTAACTAAAACTCTTATAAGTCTAACATGCTCGTATTTCTATCTTCGGACATATGTATTTTTCTTATTGACTTAACAGTCTCGTGTTGTCTCTGAATATAATTACCTTTTCAATAATGTGCCTATGAAGACTAGAGATAAGGAGGCGAATCGGCATGCTGAAAATACGGTCCCAAAAATCACACGTCAGTTGAGCTTTTATAATTAACCGCATGGGCGCTGGTACTGCATACGCTGTTCAAAATACATGGCTTCTTATGGGAATTATACATAATTTTATCAAAATAATAAAAATAAACTTGTTTATAGCTAAATAAAGCACATAATATACTGTTGTATTAATTTCTAATTAAGTCTTACATATTTTAATTGATACATTATTTACTATTTATTCCTATTTAAGTAAAATGCAAATTATTGATGATGTGTTGAAATTTGATGGGAAGGCCCACTGATCTGTATTATTTTACTGGATAGGATATAGCCCCCTAAAAAACGTTCCGAAAAATTGGCCGATTTGGGCAAATAATATGGCGGACCGGATGTTATTTAACGTAACCTCTATTTCCATTTGTCATCACATTTGTCATTTAATTGTGTCAACAAGCTACGATGAGATGTTTTTATTGGGCATTCCAAACTGAATGCCTACCAGTGGGCTTTGACGGGTTATGATATTGCAAAATTATGGCAACCCTGTAGACCTGGTGATTTGACAAGGACAATGAAATAGATAGTTACATAGATTGATTATCCATATTTTTCAAAATAAACATAAGCGTATGCCTTGAAGTAAAAATGTAAGCAATTATTTTTTTTAAATATCTAAAGGCTTAGAATTGGTTTTAAAACACATTTTTGCTAAACCGATTCAAATTAATAAATATTTGCCAGGCAATATGGTCGCTCGTAAACGACCAGCTTTGAGCAATCTATATAACTATATATGTATCATTGACCCTGTTAATGACAACATGACAACAGGGTTGCCATATCTAAACTGTCATTACCCACTGGTAGCCATTTGGACAGGTCGTTGGAATGCCTAATTGTGGAAAACAAAGTAAAAAGAGTATGAAATAAACGATAAACGTTCATTCCTGAAGACACAATATGCTTCACGTTTCCATTATTATATTTTCTTTCATAAAAAATCATTGAATTTTCCCGAAGGACATCGCCCGCAAAAGGAAAAGAAGAAGAATAAGAAGTAATCAAATTATAGGTTAGGTATGTCAAATTATCCCAAATTTCAGTTCTGTGAACCCACCATAATTTGCCCAAATCGGCCAGCATTGTTGCACTTCCGGTCTCCTTGGTGGAACGGTTTTTTAGTATGTTAAATATAGCCTATATCCTATCCAGTAAAATAATACAGATCAGTGGGAAGGCCTAATTATTTTTTAGTTAAAGTTAAATAAGGCTGAGGGCATGTTAAGACATGGTTTAAATGAAAATATTTAGTTAGGGATTTTACAAAATTTTATGAAAATAATAAATATCAAATTGTTTATTGCTAACTAAAGCACAGAAAATACTGTTGATTTTAATTATTGTAAATAAGTCTTTGTTTTAATTGCTAACTAAAGTACAGAAAATACTGTTGGTATTAATTATAAATGAGCCTTTATGTTAAACATTATTTACTATTCATTATTTAATTTTATCTAAATGAAATTAAAATTAGGTATGACCAAATTTGAAGGTTTATTAAAGGTGAAATTTGGTAAGTACAGTTTTGGGGTAATTTTGTATTCGACAACTACAATTTCATCATACTGGTGAATAGTTTCTTCAGCAATAGGTTCTAGTATTTTTTTCCTTTTTTTTATTCTAACAAATTCAGTTCGGTTCAATGGTGGTTTTCGTCTTTTCCCAATACTGGACAAGTATGAAGGGAGATTCGGGAATATACATGGTATTGCTTCGTTCTTTAATCTCGGCCTTTCCCTTTTTATTTTGTTAACAGTACCATTAGTTAAAATAGTTTCATCAAATTTTAAAATATCATCTTCTAAAAAGTGTAGCTCGCAAACAGAATCATAACTAGACAGTACTTTATCAGCCCTAGGAATCACATGCTGCCATTGTTCTAAACGTTTAGGATCCTATAAAAAATATTTGCAATGACTAAATTGGAGTTCAATAAAGAAAAACAACAGTAGTAACTCTTCATCTAACATCAAAAAACATAAAAAAGGCAAATTTAATGTGTAATTATTGTTGTTTGTAAGTCAGGATTTTTTATTATAGAATTTTGTAAATAAATAATCTTCACTCCGTAAGATACGGTTTGTGACTATTTTACAATAAATATATATTATTTAGAAATAAATACATTATTTTACTTACACTAGGAGCTTTAAAAATACTTAGATTTTTATTTAATTGTGTTTTCTTTAATTTTATATCGGATTTATATCCCGTTTTTCAATCCGGAACGAAGCAAATCCTGCTTTGCCGTTTTTTGTTGCTTATTGTTACTTGTAGTCAGGTTCTTTATTTCAGCTTATTTTTATTCTTTTCACTAAATTTTACAAAAATCACTTTAATTCCCATTGACTTCCATAGAAAATAGACGTCGTTATTTTGCCACCCGCCAACTACAGTAGTTTTTTAGAACTCCATAAAAATAGGGACGGAAATTTGAAATTTGATCAAGGCCGATTCGCCTCCTTATCTCTAGTCTTCATAGATGTGCTATACTTTGTACTTTCCCTATTTAAATTGAATTGGTTAGAGTGTCGGAGGGTAGGAGAATGTTGTAAGACAGTTGAAGATGTCATAGAAAGATCACCCTGTAGATATGTTTTTTTTTCCAATTTAAACGAATGAATCTCACATGCTTCCTATTTATGATTTTGCTTTTTATAATAAAAGACTAAATGAATACAAAATATATATTTATTGTTTTTCTCGCTTACACCACTATTTCAAAAATAAAACAATTTTGAACGAAAGGAAATAATAATTACAAAAGAAAGTATAATTAAAATAAAAAAAAAAAACAAAGATTGCTTCCATCTGTGAGTAGACAGTCTCAAATTTGGAAAATATTACAATTTCAAGCATAAAAACTATCAAACAATATAATAAAATCAATACATTACTAAATATAATATTATTTTACATGGTTTTCAGTATTTAAAATAAATATAACGCATAACAACTATATATAACATTTACAGATTATCATAGTCAATATAATTTATAAAATGAAAAATACAAAAGGATATGAAGAGTGTGCTACGACAACAAATCATATATTTAACAGTTTCTTTTTTATAAACTAAATAAAATTTTGCATTCTTAGATATATCTCTCGTATATTTAAAGTAATTGACCTAATTTCTGATGAAAGGGATTTTATACACAAGGGACACAATATAGTATACCTCCTACTACCCTACCTAAGACCCTGCTTCTCCCAGGTCAAACAGTCCAAAATTCAGTATTATGAAATTAAACATTTTTACATCTCATACAGAACCTACTTTTATTAATAATTCAATGCATCAAACAACAAATTTAACTTTAATTTGACTTTTGAAAAATAATTTAATTTTTCTATATTAAATGAGGTTTATCCAATTACTAATAAAATTAGCTTTCATACGAGTATGAGTTCTCATATTTGCGATTACGTAATAATTTGTATAGCTAAAGAGGGCGCTAAAATTAACAACAATGTCACTAATATTTATATAAACTTTTCAATGATATTAAAAATTATATAAGGTGTTCCAATTAAAATTGCTACCTGGAGTGGTAGAGGTGACTCTGTGTCCCCTATACAGTGCTTCTCAGAAGTCCCCTCCCTCCCTATTTTCTTTTAAACGGTGATACTTAGACTGATGAAATTTGGAGGGTGAAAATTAACTATTGTAAGCTTCTCTACTAGTGGTAACAGGTGACGTAACAGGCATCGGTGACGTCGCCAGGCGAAGTGAAACCAATAATATTAAATGGGACCTTATTTTAACCATCAAAAACATCGTAAATCCAAAAAAATATTATGAATGAATAGGTATTCTTAATACCTTTCAAACGAGGTGTCACTTGAAATAAGGTCTCATTTAATATTATTGCCTTCAGTTGCCTGGTGACGTCATCGATGCCTATTACGTCACCTGTTACTACTAGTAGAGAAACTTACAATAATTCATTTTCACCCTCCAAATTTCATCAGTCTAAGTATCACTGTTCCAAATAAAAGAGAGGGGAGGGGACTTTTAAGAAGCACTGTATAAAAATAAAGTTTCTAATTTCAAAGACTCCAAAGATATATCGATCGGACCTTTTCACACGGACGCCCGGTATATCAAATATTCTTAAACTCAATGGTAAAAAATAAAAGACAATATTATTATAAAAACACACCCCTTATATGCACAAATATTAACATACAATATATTTGTATATAAAAACTAAAAGTTTTAATAAAGCTATTACTCTCTATGATTTTAACATTAAACAATAACGCATCAACTAAATCATATCTGGTTCAAAATCAACGAATCATTTCGTATACCCAGAGATCTAATAAAATATTCTTTGAAAATCTTTACAATGTAATAGCAAGAAAAAAAACTTAACTATTTTTATATACGGTTTTTTACTCTATTGAGGTGAATTGTTAACGTGCAGTGCAATTTATATACAGGGAGTATCATTAGTGAAGGTTTTGAAAAAATATTACAGATCAACGACATATTTCAAAATAAATAATTGTTCATATAAAACTTTTAACTTTAAAAAATAATTAACATTTATTTTATCTATAATAATTTTGCACTAATGGACAACCCTGTACAATTTAAATTATAATTACTTGGCCGCAAACAACAAGAAATAATCCTAATTATGCAACCTAGTACTGTGCTCCTGTTCTAAATTAATATATTGCCTTACAAGTCTGGAAATCTCATGTGCTTGTTCAGTCTGTAACCTAGTAACTCGTTGTTGTAACAAGTTACCGCATTTCATATCCAAAAATAGAGCTCCATCTTCGGATCGAACCTTCCTAGTACTAATAACTTCAGCAAAAGGCCAGTGGTGAATGGTTTCGTGTGTGTTCATGTCTAAAAAGTGTACTCCATTTTTATTTAACGCTAAAATATGTTCCTGCCAGTTGTCGGTTTCACCAATAACTCTTTTAACAGCGAAGAACGAGCTACCAAATAATGACCAGTTACTCAAAACCTGCAAAACTCGATGTTTAGCTGTAGAAACAGGTATATTAGCAGCTTGGCCCCATGAAGTTTGGACTAAGGCTAGCCACTGAGCAGGTCTGGGTTCTCTTATAGCTAATACGGGTTTAGGCAGCAAAAATTTGACCTCTTTAAGGCTTGGAGAATGGCCGAGGTCTGCTGCTCTGTGGAGCAATGCTGCTATCAAGGCCATGTCTCGAATCACACTTGACGGAAGACTGGTGCTACCTAACCTTAGAAGAAGACCTTCTAGGTAATCTGGAGCTACTTGGTTGAAGAGGACTTCAGTATACAATGGACTAGTATCGTGTTTTAAAGGGTGATACCAAACAGATCTGGAAAAAGTAATGAGCGATAAAAATTAGTGTCCTTTTTTGGTTTGTTTGCAGATTTATGATTAGTAAACGTACCTGCAGAAGATAAGGTAGAAAGGTTGAGCAGCTTTATGCAGTTCTGTGGTGACATCTAGAATATATTCGTCTGCAGCTAATGGCATGGTGAAAGCGTCACCTTGAACTATACAGTACAAACTAAATTCTTGTTGTTCTACTTCACTGGTTATGCCTATTAGGGTACATAGTTCGCTAATAACGTCGGCAACCACTGTACTACACCTGAAATATAAAAAAAGTAGTCAAAAATGTATATTTATGAATCTCAGTGCAAGGCTTAAGGAACTTTACAGTCTTTGTCATGTTTGTTTAACGGCCTTTCTTTCAGATTTATTACTACACCATTTTAAAACTGGAAAGAAGATATATAATGCTTGGCATTTTATATTATACTTTTCACAGTTTAACGTACCCCCTTAACCCTCATTTTCAGAATCAATAGGCTTCATCCCATTATAAGGCTTGATTTTCTCTATTTTTATTTCTTTTTTATAATTTTTCAACCCCCGTTAGTTTGCCATTTTTATTCATTCTCTTGTAGAGCTTGCTTTTTACTAAATATTTCATGTTAATATCGCTTTTGATTTTTGATTTCTATTTTTTTTATTATTTCGACCCCCTTGGTCCCCATTTAATTTAGATTTTTTTCAAATTCAATAAGCTTCGTCCACTTATAGAGTTTGATTTTTCCTGAAATTTACAAGTTAATATCATTTTCGTACGGACAAAAACGTGACATCGGACGGACGAAAAAAGTAAACCTTATAATACTCTTCACAGACTACTGGGTGGAGAGTATTTTAATAGTTCTGTAGAAATATTGATGAAAATTTGAACTTAATTTTTTGTGCTATTCCATATATGCTTAAAACAATTAAATTGGTATGGCAATTTGATAAAAATGATGGTATTACAAGAATAATAATAAAAATCGGTAAAACAACATAAAAGAAGAAAGTCACTATGAAAATTGTTACGTGAAATAGGTTTGGAGGAGCGAAAGACAATATAGAGGAAGTGACAACCTCAGATATAGAATCCACCTTTGACGCCTGAATAGACAGAAGAGAATGGAGAAAGCGGAGAGGAAGAAAAAGATGAAAAAGAAGACGAAGAAGAGAACGAATAAGACGATGAAGAAGACGGAGAAGAAGAGAAGACGACGATGAAGAAAACGAAGAGAAGATGAAGAAGAAGACAAAAAAAAAGAAGACGTATAAAAAGATAAAGAAGGAGAATAATACTTTTTAGAGTCAAGGTTGACCAAACACTCCTAACTTCTAATGATAAATTTCAAAGACGAAAACAATAACTAAAATGACTCACCTTGTATTAACAACCCGTTCAGCGCCACCAGGTAACCTATAGATCTGCCTTCTAGCACTTCTTCCAGCACTGACAGCTGTTACTTCTTCTACCGAAGGTACGTTCTTCCTTCCACCACATCTCTGCGTTTTCCTAAGGTTCGATAGACATACTGCCGCTGTTCCATGACATATCCTCCTTCGGTCATTAGCTGCACTTGTCAGGTGTTCGGTGAGGAAAGGCAGAAGCACGTCGGAGCACGCGAAATAGGCTGCAACGACGGATAAGAGTCGCCAGGCTCGCTGACAGGATTCAGGATGTGGGGATTTGTTATTAGTGGTTTGTTTCATGAGCTGGCAATAGACTTCGTCACGAAGTTGGATGAATTTGTGACAGTGCTGCAAAAGAAACATGGTGATATAATAGTGTATACATACAGGATGTCCAAATAAATTCTCCCAGGATGTATATTTTCTAAACAAATTTTGTAATTTAAGTTTAGTTAGTTGATCATTTAGAGTGCTTCAGTTTTGAATGCAAATGTTTTTTAAATATAGAATATTTCGATAAAAGCACTTTGAAATGTGATTTATATAAATAAAAGTTATTTTTATGTAGATTTTGCTTTATAAAAACAAATTAAAACTGTTTTCGAAGGTTGTGAGTACAAATGTTGACATTATTTATCCTAATATATTTATATTAATAAAAACTAGAAATTGTGGTTCTTGAACCATTTTCTTTATTATTTATTAGATCTTTCTGGGGGTTTAGGTATCTTTGATACAATTTGTTTGTTTATTTGTTTGGTATAGTTACGGCTACCGATAGGTGCCTTCTTCAGTACTTTTATTTTATTTTTTATATCAAGTTTGACTTTTATTTTTAAGATTATAATGTTACAGTTTTCTTTTAATTAACAAGTTGTCATTGACATTTATTTTAAAGTTGATCAAAGTTGAACATTTTTGTTGATATCTACTAAAATACAGTTTGTCTTGGTTGGAACAGTTTTCTTTAAAAACTGAAATATCTAGAAATGTATAATCTTTAAAAGTATTTAATATCTAATTATAAAATATTTTCCTCATTAAATCATTTTTAAAATAAATGCCATTTATTTCAAAGGTAACGTTTATTGTATTTTTAATTCTTAATTTATGATGATATTTAAAATATTTTACATAATTTATAAAAAAAGATACTTTAAAATTTGGACTTCAAAATCATTTGTATTCAGAAAATCCTGTTATAAATAATAGAGCAAATATGAAGAAATCATTTTCGGGTAAAATAAAAATTAAATTAAAAAAATGATTTGGTAAAGGTTTTTGTATATTTTCTGTACTATTGTATGTCCTGTTATTAATTTTCAGTAGCTATCATATTTTTTCTAAATATGGTGGATTCAGTAATTTTTTAATCTGCTTATCCTGAACTTTGATTTAGAATCAATATACGGTGTGTTCCATAAACTTAGATCCACATGGGAATTTTTTTAATGTTACGACTAGAAAATAACGTCGTAGGGCAATCGCATCTGATTATTTAAAAACTTTAAATGGTCCATATCAAAGTTCGCTCCTAACATTAGTTTTCTGTAAAATTAGCATTTAATTTTTTTAAGCGATATGTTAAAAAAATACTAAATTTGAGAGATAACTAATGCAGTAAGTACCCAATTTTAATATAAGCTATTTTTAGTTTTTTTTAAATGTCCTACGACGTTTTTTCCAATTGTAATGTTAAAAAATTTCTCAAATGGATCCATCTTTTTGTCGTTAACAAAAAATGTCACGTTTAACTGAACGGAAAAGAATAGAAATTTTAATAATGGTTGGATATGGCGATAAGTTAAGAAAACATCAGGAAGCATGATAATAATTCAACCAAGAACACCCTGATAGACCGCCTATTGTAAGATGTACAGTAAGTAAATTGGTTACCAAATTTACTGAAACGTGATCCGTCCATGATTTGCCTCGGCAAGGTCGGCCTCCAGTAAACGATGAAACCAGATTAAATGAGTAACGCGAAGCTAAAGAAAATCCTCACTATACTACAAGGCAGCTAGCCCTAAATAATAATGTGGACCACTCTTTTGTCGTGAGGTTGTTCAAGAAAGAGAACTAAAATCCTTACAAGGTTCAGTTGATTTACGAATTAAACAAGGATGATCCAAACCGCCGCCTGCAGTTTAGCGAAGAACTAATGTTACGCTGCGATGGAGACCCCACTTTTTTAAATAATATCCTTTTTTCTGACGAACCCATTTTTTGCCTGAATGGGACATTACATCGTCATAATTGCAGGTATTGGTCAAAAGAAAATCCTCACTGGACTCAAGGCTCTCACAGTCCTTGAGTGAAGTGTATAAAGTGTTTACACTCGTATTGGTCAGTGCCAAATGGTTAAACGAGAGCAATTTGAACATTTACGATAAATTTTGTTTGTTTTTGGGGTGTTATTAGGATTTTCTTTCATTAAAATTAAATTTTGATTTCTTTCGGTAAGTTATTTTTAAAAAAAAACTGTTTTTTAAGGTACCAATTTTTTTACACCATCATTTAAGTAAATCTAATAAAAACAGCAAACAAATTGGGGTTGTCATTTAAAAAAACCAATGATGACGTCATAGTGCAAAAATACATGACGTCATAAGTAAAAATTGTATGGCATAAGGTAGCTAATTAAATATTAAAATTAACCTGTCCGAGCGTTTTGCTTAAAAACATTAAATACTGCAATTATGAATTTTGTTCCTTACTTTATCACCACACTGTATAATTAAACTAGTAGAAAATTGATTTTCGTATTTGATTTTAGTTTTAGAATAACCATACATTTTTTTAGTTAGCTTTAATTTTTGAACATTTTAAGGATTTAACTGAGAGTTTTCTCACAAACCAAGATGGAAAGTCCAAGAACTTTGACCGTTACCGATGAAAATAATGTGACATTTGTGGAAAATATATAAATCTGCGTCCAAAAAATTGTATATTTCAAAAATTTCTATTTATTTGCCCTGTTATCTACATCAATAAAATAGTTGAATTTTTACTGTCAATTTTAAAATGTTTATGTGTAAAAACCATATGAAATTAATGTTAATTAAAAAGGTAATTGTCTCTTGGTTTTGAAAAATTGATAAAAATAATCTTATTGTTAAATTGAAGTTTTTTGATGTAGAAAAAAATATATAGTGCATGTAACTTTCATAATTTACTATTAACACGCGCCAAAAAAGGTAAAAATAACTATTTAAAAGTAAATTTTATTACCATTAAAACAGTGTAGACACATTTAACCTCTGACATTTCGGGCGTAAGAGGTAGATCTCCACAGTACCTCAAAATACATTCGAAACATTCTACAGAGAGAGGATACATTTCGGGATCATCTAATTTTAAAAGTGGGCCATCAATTGGGACTCCTTGCCATTTTATTAAGTCTGTGTGTTGCTTCCACGTCCATTCTTTTCTTTTTTCTTTCGATTTCGCCATAGAGTCCATCTTCAAATGTTCTAATCTGAAATCAAATATAAAACATATTTATTATGTTTTTTTTAGGACTAATAGTATTTTAATGTCAATCATAAGTATATGCGATTTGTGCAATTTGTGCAATTCAAGTATTTTATCCAAATCACTCGTAGCTATCATATCCACACTTTTTGTAAAATATACTATAATTTCTAAAATGGCTAGTAGAATATGTGGGTCACGATTTAAATGGGAACCGATTTATTTTATTTACTGTTGCTGAATATTAGTGTTGATTCATTATACATTATCCATAGAGCATGGAATAATTAAACTTTTTAATCAAAATATTAATTTTAAGAATATTCCAGAAACAGTTTTTTTAAATGGGATTATTAATTTTTTGGAATTATTATGGAAATCAGAATGGACTAAAACGTATTGAAATTTTCAATCCAATTTACGTGCAAACAATCATTAATGGTATTTATTTTTACAAAAAGACATTGACTAATTTATTTATTTAGTATTTAGAAGAACATTTGGATTAAAGACCTATTATTATTAATGAATATTCCCGCGCAAAATCACCATATTGAGTAACTATACATTGTTAGAACGGTGCCAAATATTATACCGGAAGGTGAATATTTTTAAAACATTTGTATTTCTTCTCGTAATACGTAGATAGTTGCAGTGGCTTGTATTTTTGTTCTAGTTGTCTTGTCTTATTTCAATTTTGTGGATGTTTTTAAATTAACCGAATCTGCTTTCACAAATCCCGAATTGTTTAATTCTTATAAAATATTCAAAAATAGAAATATAAACAGAGCATGAATTAATTTTATTTTCAGACTGACATATCAGGATCGTCAGAAAACTAAAAATAGTTTTTTAATCATTTGTGGATAAATTGTATAATACTCTAAAGGTACCATTTCGGAATGCGCGACAGACGACAACAGAAGCGACGGCAAAGAAGACCGATGCATTTACGTTACGCTTCACACATTTGGGAAGCAAAGAGACGGACGACGCGACAACCACATACGACAATTCGAGGGAACGATCAATGTTGCCAGACCTACTGTTTTAAAGTAGATCCACTGTTTATGTCTTTGTTCTCCTGTTTTAGGCATGAAATCTACTGTTTTCGCCAACTTAACAAATTGTGTTCCTAATTTATTAAGTTTGCCTTAATCTTCAGCAAATGGTTAAAGAATATTGTCTCTAGTAAATTTGCTTATTACGCTACAATAACCACCCACTACTGTAGGTTTGCTCCATAAAAAAAACCTCAAGATAATCATAATGTTTTTATTTAAAATGCAACAAATAATTAATAGGGCATCATAAAAAGAACATGCATGCCAAACACAACGTATTTGACTTATCTGATTCAGACTAATCTAAAAGAAATACCTATTATTTTTCATTATTTTTTTTTTTATTTCCGGACGTTAAGTATATATTAAAAATTTTATTATTTATTTTTATTCTTTGTTTACTTTCTAATTTGGGTAGAAAAATGTTTATTTTTTGCGTTCTTTATGTACTTGTTTTTGATTTTTTATTTACTACACTGCAAATTATAATTATTTCCCCCTGTATTAAAATCTACTGCTTAGATCTACGGTTTCTTTTCACCCATATTATTCCAGCAAATTTTCATCTGGCAACGCTGCCCAGGATAGTTCGAAAGAACTTTACAACTACCATTTCTATAAAATATCGACTAATCACCTCAAAATACAAGCGATGACTGAGGACCAGTATTGCCAGGCTCTGTCAACCGAAACTCTGTAGAATTATCGAGAAAAATCAGTAAATCTCAGCAAAAAACGGTAGATTTCAAAAATCAAATAAAATTTGTAGAAAACAAAGTTTTTAATGCTAAAAAGTAACAAAAAATTCTAAAACACACATCAACTAACATATTTAAAAAAGAAAAACATAAAAATAAAATTTTAGTCGTAGAAAATAAAAAACAAAACCCATTATATAATTAATATTTTTAACAGAAAAAACCTAAATAATAATAGAGGGGCTTTTTTTTACAAAATTTTATTATTAGAAAACTCTATAACTGCAATCTGTAAAACTATCGAATTAGGAATTATTTTTTACTTTCTAAAATTCCCTATTTAAAACTTCGTTGCTTGTGATTCCCCGATCCCCGATTGCTAGTGTATTTCCTCATAGTAAGTGTTGTCCGTCTGCGCCGCAGATAGAATTAAAATTCCAACGAGAATATATTTAGGCAATTAGGATGGACGTATGTAGAGTGTGTTGCATAAAAAGATATCTCATTGATAGAATTAAGTCCAAGTTCAACGCGTTGTCAATGACAAGTGACGGCTACTTTTTATTACAAAAAATACAGCCCTGAACGATAATATTTTCAGAAATTGTTTTTAAAAATGGGCTCGGAGTACGGTAAAGAATGGTGGAAAGTACATGGTTTGTTTTACTTTCAATGCATAATATTGTAATAAGTGATATTTAACCAATATTTAAAAGTTATGGACTTTTCACAATTTTTTATAGTATTTCAAAGTTAAAACGTAAAACACACTCTTTTATTTTTGCACTAATTATTTGAGCCGTGCTAATTCGAGACATATGTTTTGTTAAACTCATCGTGTTACATATTTCTTAACATTAAGAGACAGACATGTAAAGTGACGTCTTGTATTACTTCGAATTAAAAATCATTTTGTAACCTGAGAAAAAAGTTGAGTTAGGTCTTAAGAAAGTTTGTCAAAAAATACAAAATATATATAGTTAAGATATAGGTTCTTTTTGGTACAAAATGCAATGTTAAGTGAATGTTTGTATAATATAATCAAAGATTATTTGAAAAATCGGTATATCGGTAGATTTTTATAGATTAATTTCAAAATTTGTAGATCTACCAATTAATCGTTAGCAATGGCATCACTGCTGAGGACTGAGCGCGGCAGGCAGCAAACACTACCCCGAGAACGATCTTTCGGTCGTCGACTTCTGTCTCTCGCACTGGTTACGCCTTGCGAAATGTGTGAAATATAATTACATGTGTGACGTGGAGAGACCATTCTTGGTCTCCTTATTATTAAAAAGTTTAGTTTTATTGAGATACAACCTTGACAATTAACATAATACTTCACAGAATGAGGCACCCAAGTAACAATTTTACATTTTTTTAAAACTGAAAGAATGTTTACAAAATAAAATTTATAAAACAGATTATTAACTAAGAACATTTCTGGAACATTCTTTCAACAGTAATAAACAAAAAATGAGCTCACTATTATAGAACTGTTTGGTTCATTTGTGAATAGTATAAGGCTTGTTGAATGACGTTACCGGATAGTTACTTACACATTTACACAGACTTTAGAAAAACGTCTTTTAAAACTATTATAACTGTTTTATAAATCTTAAATTTTGTGGTTTCGTTGCATATCAAAATCAGTAAAATTTTCGTTCTGAAAGCTATCTGGTAAAAAGAAATTAATTCTAGATTTGTCATAAGAATTATTTATAACGCGGTTTAGACTATCTGAAAAGTAGAAACCACTTCTGTTTTATATTTCTTCACTTATTTGAATAAAACATTTTTAGACCACACACATACACACGGTTTAAGAAGTAGTTGAATAATGGTGAAATACAAACAATATGGTGTAGGTACTATGATACTTAACCAAATGTAGTTATTTTTTTTTTTTTTATAAATATATATTAAAAAGGATAATATTATCCTTAAATAAAGGTTTTTATTTATAATAGCTCCAGATAGTTTTCTGTAATGCAGACATTTTTCGACTCTACATTACTGTTAACAATATAGAATCACTATAAAGCATTTTAATTTTATTAGCTGAAATGTTGTATAGAATAGTTGCATAAATGTTTATGTAACATTTATTGTAAAAACTATTTAATAAATTTGCCGTAAAAAACATTGTAAAAATGAGAGAATACAATAGTGATGTTTGCTATTTTATTAAACAAATTAGCATTTCAGAAACAGCAATATAATATTAATAAAATATAATAGTCTTCTAAACTAAAAATTATAAAACTACTTTTAGTAGCAGTAAGTAAGATACAACTGTGGTACATTAAAAAATATGCAAACTAAAAGGCTGTAACTTATTTTATAATCTTTTAAATTGCTACATATTATTCAAGAGTACAAAATTTGAAGCAGGTAAAGAGATAATCGGCACGTGTTACTGCCTTTTTAAGGCTGAAATGGTGCAAATACAACATTTTTCAAACAATTATCACCCAAACAATTGCGAAGTGAGATACGTTTTTTATACTGATGGCTTCACTTCATTTTGCTGATTACGCCTGTGGCTGAATTAAAAAAGGACGTATCGTGAGTTACAACCTTCTTCGATGGGGTGTCGATATATGAAGTTTCTGTCATTTGGTTTATTGCAAATATTTTAAATTCGCGAGGTACCTCCTAAATGCAATCAATGGGTTTAGGTTTTTACCAATTTTACTGCAGGTAACTATACGAATAATATCTAATTACGAACACATTAAATATTTATATTTTTTAATTTACCTTGTAATTTACAAAAACTAATCGCCAATCCAAGAATAAAAATAATGTACTGACATTTTTATTATAATATGTAGCTTAGTATTTCTTTAAAATGCCCATTAATAACTACAAAAGAATTAAAGTATAATAGTATAAAAGTAGAAATTGGGAAACAAACTTTAATTTTTTTTGTATTTATTGGTATACTTCAATGGACATAGTCTACATAAAATTTTCAACTTTAATCATTATTTCTTCGGTTTATATCTGCACTGCAAAATTTAGCTGAAGTAATTTGTAAAAATTAAGGTTTAAGATGAATTACTTAATAAAAAAATTTGACTCTTATAGTTTATTAAAATCTAGTATATACTTTATCTTCCTCTATAAAATTATTAGTGAAAAAAATTCAACTATTAAGAATATCTCAAAATTCAATATTTGAAGTTTCTAACCGAAGTAAATACCTATACCTAAAGTCATATTTTGAGCCGGAGTAT